ATAAATTGTATAGTATAAAATAAGGTCCAAAATTGAAGTTTATACGATTTGCCTTGAACGTAAAAAAATAATGTTTTTTCACTTTTCCTCAATTTGGGACTTTGTTCGAAAATACCAATATGGGTCGAGATTCCAACCTAGTGATATTCGCAAAAAACGTGCAAAATTGAGTCTTGATCAGTTTCTATCTCTATGTGATCTATTCAATTGTAAAAGAAACGGAATTTGAAAGTATAATATAAAGCTGAAATTAAATTTTTTCATTATCCACAATAATGGCCGTAAAATGAGTATAATTTATATACCATATATTTTATATTTTTATTAACGTATTTAATTTAACAAAATGTTTTATACTAGATGTCAAATCTTACTATTATATCGAATTTGATTGACATTTGTTGCATGTGGAATTTCATAAGATAACGCATCTTTACCCCATTATTTTTGATTTTTTACAGTTCGGATTCATCTATAGTTGTGTCAAAAATTAAAAAATTATAAAAAATTCAAAATATGAGAATTTCGTGGTTTCGGAAGGTCATTTGTATTTTTACACCCGTGGTGTTTAATTTTTTTTTATAAAAATTATGTTTTATTTGCGGCGGCAACAACCCAAGATCAAGAGGAGGTGGGCGGTTTTCAAAATACCGAAACATCAACCGAAATGTCGAAATATATTCCTTAAAGTGCAGTATAACCTGCGTCTTTGATTAATTTTGAAACCAGAAACTTTGAAATGCGGTGTATTCGACTCGGACCCACGATTATGTACTGCTCTCAAAAAAAAAAAAACTGGGATTTATGGAATGCGAACTAACGTCAACCAATTCACATTTCAAGCCCCACCACACCCAAAACCTTTGTGTGCAAAGGCCGTTTCCCGCCAGGGTATGAACGAGGAAGCTGAAGTTGCAAAACCAAAGTAAAAATCTATATTTAGAAATAAAAAATTATCATATATGGACGTATATTTTTAATTGAAAAATGAAGTTATTTTTCAGACATTCTGTCACGGATGGGATGGTTTGTGTGGTATTTTTTTTGATGTTGCGTTCATGAAAATCATAATGGAATTTTTACTTTTTTGTGATATTTCACGAGTTGACGAGTTATATCCCTGTGAAATGAAATTTTTTAAGTTTATGATGGGGGTAGATCAGTCCCCGTGGGAAATGGATTCTGTAATTTTTTGCGTGACCATTGGTGAAAAACCTGGATTCCATCCCGTTCGGTATTGAACATTATTTATTTTTCCATAAGTGTGACGCATGTTTGGTGGATGTCTTCTTCTCCTTTGAAGTTTTTATCCTCAGGGTGAATCCAGGTGATAAATGGGTTATTTTGAGGGGAATCCATAATCGCGACAAAATGGCTACATAGCGTGCCTATTTTATGGGGAATCCCAATGTTTTATTTGGCTTAGAATTGTCGATGGGATGCTCCGAGGAAATTCAATTGGCCCTTTGCCCTTTCAATCGAGCGTTGATTATTTTTTGCTGATTCAGAATCGGATATATCCCCCTCTTGGTATGGATCCGACCAGATGGCAGCGGGTGGTATAATAAGGAATGGTTTGGTGAACAATCTAAATTTGCAATGGAAAGGAAAAATTGGATGGGCGCTTCTATAATATGATGGTGTATATGGTAATAAAGCTTGAAAATAACTCACTAAAATCATTGAGCAGTTATTTGGGATGATATTTAATGTTCTTACATTAAGCATCAATGGTGTAGATATATTTTCAGTAAGGACATAATATTCATAGCATTCTGGGTATTTCATCAATAGAAAAAATAATGAAGAATTTATTCTATTAAAATAAAGAGAATTTGGTCCCAAATATATAGTATTAAAATAATAATAATAATAATAATAATGAAATGATGTGGAAGCATTAAATTAATCTATGAATTATTGTTTGTTTTTTCCGTCTTTGTACTTTTTTTCAATTTCCGTGTGCGATGGCTTTTCCTTGGCAATTTTCTGTTGATATCGATCTCGTTTTGGGTGAAGATGTTAACGGAATCTTTAAAGTCGTCGTTAATGAATAGATTCAGGGGGTGAAAATGGGTATTCAGAAAGTTTATCGTATCAACCAACAAGTCACATTTCCATTTGAAGTGCTGGATTCGCTTGATGTTGTTTTTGAATCGTATGGATGGAACCAACAGTTCGTTGGAATCGCATTCAGGTGGATAACGGAAACGTTTGGTTTTGTAGGGTCCTATATGGAACACCGTGCCTTTTTCCCTGGGCTTGGATTCTGGAATCTCGGTGAATTCATTGGCGAATTCTTTGATGTAGGTAAGATCCATGGGGGTTTTATGGTTTAGCGCATCAATGATGTTTGGTTGCGGGGGGGGGGGGGTTGGCATGACTTCATCCATTTTTTGATGGATCTGAAAGTTGGCCATTAATATGGTTTGTGGATTTGTGCGAAAAGAACTTACTTAAATATTGAAAATCCTAATATTGAAAAATTGGGATTTTTAGACAGATGAATACCGATAATTATTATGAGTCCAATGGTTTTAATAATCATATCAAATAGTTTTATCCGGCGCGGAAAGATCGGATTCATTTTCTATAGTTCTATAAAATATTAGTTGGTTATTCCAATCTTAATTTTTTTTTTCAGATTCTTTATCTGATTCAACATCCAAAGAATTATCCAAAATATACTGTATAGAAATATTCTCTGACGCGGTGGTAGTTGAATTGTTGCTTATTTCTTCGGATGTTATTCCACCATCGGTAGTATTCTCATCGTACTCATCAATATACGAATTCAAAAATTGGATTTCTTGATAACGTTCCCGCCAATCCCAAGTAACCATATCCCAAAAATTTCTTCTGAGAATCGCGTTAATCTCATTAATTATTTCCCGGAGACGACTTTCTTCTTTGTCCAAATCATTCATTGATTGTTGACACCATTTTATAATATCATCTGGTGTTGGATTGGATGCCTCAAAATCACTTATATCGTCGGATGATGTTGGAAAAAAAAAGGAAGATGGTCTTGGAGGGTCTTGCTGACTTTCATTTTTGGACGCGGTGATGTAACTGTCAACATATATCTTTTCACCTATAAACATTTTTTGTTTAACGGAAATGGATAGTAGTAGATCATTTTCCCTTTCCAGCTCATTACCCCATAATTCTATCAACATCTGAAGTTTACGTTGTTTAAACGCAAAATTCATTATCTCGTTTGATGTTAAGGGAGTATCATCCTCTAAGCAGGATTCCATTCTATAGCACTTTATACTCAATATTTAAATAGCTTGCTCTGTAGTAAACTAAGATGATTATCGAATAGAGTGTAAAGAATGTAAACAATACATTGAAGTCGACTTTATAATAAATATGCAATAATTTTGCTGGTGAACTTGTTTTTCGCTAAGCACAGAGTACTAAATCGGGAAGGGTTGAATATCTTACGGAATCAGACGTAGACGACGTTTTTTTTTGGCTTTTTTTAGTAGGTGGTATATTGAGTTATGGGGGGATTTCAGCTGACGTCTTTGTCCAAACAGTTCAAAATCAATGGAATTCTTTATGTTGTTGTTTAATGCTTCATCTATATTGATGTGAATGGGCTCAAAGTGTTCGTTTATAAATTCGAAAATGGAAACTAAGTGGTTCCATTTGTATTGAATGTATTTGATATGATTTATTTTTGTGGTGATATCGTGTATAGTGGGGTATTTGTTATTTGTATTGGGTGTATATTTGAGAGGGTCGATTTAGGAGTGTCTATATGGCAAAATTCAGTATATTAAATTTTTGTTTATGGCGGAGGGGTCATTACCGATGAAAATGAATTGATTGATATCAAAATCTGATTTGTGTGGAACAATCTTATATTCAGATGAATATGTTTTATCTTTTGAATTTGATGGCATGATGACTTAGGGTATGCTATGATATGATCTATTAGTGTTCATTCCAAAAAGGGAAATGAGACATATTCTGTTAATTGTCATGGAATTTCATGTTCGATATTAATGTAAGCCGTTTAATCATTATGAATATGAAATTAAGTGAGAATTATCGGTTTAAAATAATAATAACCGTAAGAAGAATCCCATTAAATGTTGATGATTCGATTTTGACCGATCATCAGGATTTTGTAAATGTTTTTATAGACCGGATTTGGTGGGAAGTTTTAAAAGATGAAATTATGAGTGTATGGTTTAAATACGCATACATCTCTTACAAAGCAGGCACCTTAAATGATACGGTTACTTAGTTCATGTATGTGGGCGTATAATTTACCGGGTTTGTTTGGGTTGGGTCCATCATAGAATACCACCTTGGGCGTTCCCGTGTAGTTGATCATCTGTCCAAATATACCCTTTGATTCTGTAATGTTACCAGTGTTTGGGACCCATCCGTAATTTAGAAGAAGGTATTCGCATAGGAAGGACTTGCCAGATTTAGTGTATGGATCCCATACCCAGTAAATTTCGGTATTGTCTGGGTTTTGATCACAGATATGGATGATTTGTTGTTGCCAATGTTTCCAGTTCACGTTTTGATAGGAAAGGGTCGGGCACTGTAAAAATGGATGATCTTTTTTATAAAAGCATCGTTTTGTTCTATTTTCAGTTTGTGTGTCTGTGAGCCAAATGAATTTTGGGTTGGTGGTAAATATCATGGGCGTGTATGGATCTCTGTTGATTATTTCTGTGAACGTGGATGGCTTCTGGTTATCATTTACGGATTCGTTTGAAATGATTAAGGGTTTTATGAATAGGGTTGGGGTAAATTACAATTTTATGTGAATACTTTATAGGAGATAGATAAACTAAATGGGTGGGGGTGAGTTGTTGTGATTTCTGAATTTAGTTATTATGCGGTGGTATGGCAGCTTGTTTTATACCACTTTCATAAAGATATAGGGTTTTTCAGTCAAAAATAAGGGTTAAGCAAGGCCTTGAATTGGAATCAATGCCTCTTATGATGTGTTGATCGGATAGGACTCACCCAATTTAAGTTTAGGGTTAAATTAAGAAAATGATTATGATTTTCATAATGGATTGGATGGTTAATGTTGGGTTGCATAAAATCAGCATGACATAAATTGTATGTATATAAGGAAAAGATTGATGGTGTGGATGAATGTCAAAATATATAATATCAAAAACTTAAAATAATAAATTCGACGTACATATGTACGTCGAAAAAAAAAATTGTTAGGGTGCATCATGTATCCTCAGATGTCCTTCCATCCAGCGTATGTCATCTTCGAATTCATCTATTTTGATGATATTCCATCTGTCTTTACTCATGTAGTGTGTGCTTGGTGGTGTATTGGCAAATACAATCAAATGGCAAAAGGGTTTAACGAACATGCAGCTTTCTTATTTGGCACATACCACATTTTTTTGATTTAGTTCCTCAAGATCACCGTATCCATGCCATCCGTCACTGATAAATTGCCTTGTTAGGTCGCAAATGAGGACTTTGGGCCACCTTCCTTTACTACACATATTTTGAATGAGAAAGGCGGCGTCTGCCAGTTTTCCAGAAAATTTGATGCCGTCGAATTTGAGGGCCAGATAGGTGCAGAGAAATTATTTACCAACGTTACCCTCTGATTCCCAACACCAGTATATCTTCTTTCCTTCTTGTTTTTCATAACATATATTAATGATATGTTGTTGCGATGGTTTCCATATGACGCCTGTGAATTGTTTTATTATATTTTCTTTCATGGTATCCATAGAGAATCCGGTATATTCTGAGTATCCCACAACAAAATCATCAGTAATTGAACTTATGGCACATATTTCGTTATGGTAAAGGATTGGATTTGGGTCTTCCTTTTTAAAATAGATAAGATTTTGATCCCTCGAACCTAATGCAACTGCGATATGTGTTTTGTTGTTGTGGGGTATGGATTTTATCCCTTGGAAGCCATCCAGATTGTTTGAAAATTCGATGTACCCTTGTAAATGTTTGTGACCTGTTGTGGGTTAGGTTTCTTTGGCACATAAAAGAACTGTTATATTTTCGTATTTGATCTGATATGTTGTGCCATTTGATCCTGTATATTTTTTTGTTTCTATTGAAGGTGAATTTAAATGGTGGTGGATGGGCAGTTGAAACTCCGACATTTGGGAGATCCGGACTCTTGGATTTTAGTGTTTTTTGGATGTTGGCGGTTGCCTCGTTATCAATAATTCGATATGGATTATTATTTGTATGGTTGGGAATTTGTTCATTCTTGACGTCATTGGGTTCGATTTTTGGTACTTCGATGTTTCGTTTTTTCATGAACCTTTCGATGCTGCTTGAAGATGATGAATCGGTATCCTTTTCATCATCCAACAATAGAATGTTATGTTTAGGGCTGGGGGCGGGTTTGATGGGTGGTGAATCGTTGTCTTTGTTCATGGGTTCATTTGCTGATGGTTTGTGTTTATTTGGGACCTGATCCTTATGTTTTGTTGTCAATTGATTGGGTGATGCCAAGGGTGTTGATGATTTTGAATGGGGTTGGGTATAAGGCTTGTCTGGACCCATCGGGGTTGTTGGTCTTTCTTTTAATGGTGTTCATGGTCGGATTCTGTCGTGGGGTCGCCTGAAATCGATGATGTAGAGTCGTTAATAAAATTGTTTTGGTTATCTGATGAATCGGTGTAGCCTTGGTCGGATGATGAATCTGGCGAAGTGTCATTTAAATCTATTGAATTGGGATTGGAAGATAGTTTTATTGATATTTCAATAATGGTATTTGGAACGGATCGGGTGTCTGGTTCTGTGATGGTTGTTTGGTTTGGAATATTATTCGTGTCTGCCGTTTGATCCGTTTCATTGTTGGCTTGTTGAATGGGACTTTTGTATTTTACGGGACCGAGTTTATGTCCATTGCATTCCGTTGTCATATATGTTGTTGGCGGATCCAGGCAATGCCAAGTTTATCCGACATCCGTATTTATTGTAAAGCAAAATCTTCATGGAACGGATTCTTTTTTTTATTATTCTTATTTTTATAATGATTTTTATTTTCATTTTTTTTGTTTTTGTTGGATTGGATGGTATTTCGCTTGGGCGGCATATTCATTATGATTTTAGGATGTGGAATGAAAAGCAATGAAACTACAAGTTAACCCTAAGGTGGTATGGTGTTATAGTTAATAATTGGGGTTTGGTTAGACATTTTAGCGGATTATATTAAATATTATGGCTCAAAACTGGATAAAGTGGGAGGACGGACGGTATATTGGATATTTTATTATAAGTGCATTTTGGATTTTAATTTAAATAAATGATGATAACGGAAAATATATTCAGCCAAAATGTGTATACTAAAATGGACTGAAAATGTTCAATTAGTTATTATATAGTTACACCCATTATTTATTTAGTATTGGGTTGAGGTAAAATAAATAAGTATCAATTTAATTCGATTCCCCGATAATACGTTTCGGTTCCATTAACAAAATATAATATCAAGATGAATATAACATGTTCACTAAAAAAATTGTTTATCGCAAATAAACAATATTTGGGTTCCATAAATTCCAACCCCCTCGATTTACCCACACTAACCCTAAAATAACCTGAACCAAACTATAACATTAACGTGTTTAAGAAAGAACATTTTATATGGTGTACCGGAAATGGCCGTGGTTTTGGTGGCGAAAGCTTCCCCGGTAGACTGGAGGCTCAACGAGCCTCTAGGCTTAACCTACAGTATTGCCGGGGAAGCTTTCGCGGAATCGCCAAATTTTGCGAAAGCGGCTCGATATTTTGGCGTTTTGGGTGAAAATGTGCTTATTAGGATCGTCTTTTCGCTGCGAATTCCGCTTTTCGCAAAATATCGAGCTAAATATTCGACTTTTCAGGTCCAAATCCGGGTTCCGACTGCGGATTGAGACGGGCTGAATCAGACTCCGACCTCTACGCCTTCAACTTCATTCCATATTGCTTGACTCTATTTAGGACTCTATAACCATAGATTAGGATGTTTTTTCGGTATGGGGGCCCTAGGCGATGGGGTTACACCTGGGACCGTGTCTACGATCCAATGGGAAAGTATGTCCGCACAATGTTCGCTGAGAATGACCGGATGTATTCCGGATTGGTAAAGTTCCATTTGAACGTCTACTAGAAACGAACGAGATCCCTGACCTATTCCCATCATGAACCCTACTTTATCTGAAAACGTATTATTCATATGGATGGGGTCCTTGGTTTCGATATTGGCAGCATGAAGATGACATACATGGGTTATGGATGTTAATAATAAATTATTGCGCTTCCATCATGCTTTATCAAGGCTTGGGTTGAAGATAGCAAAGATGAATTTGACTCCCACTATAAAGTACATTTAGAGATCCACCAAACGATGGACGAATGAAACAGCAAAAGACACAGCCATGAGGATGGATGGCAATTGGTACGTCACATGAAGCGCCTGGTGCCGCGTCTGGGGTTAGAGAACCCCAATATTCCTCAGGTGCTGCTGTTTTCAGATGTGGAAAAGTGAACTAACACTAACCAAAAACAGTTCCCTGGCATCATTCACACTTCACCTCGCCTTCCCTTTCAAACATATAAAGTGGATGGTATCGGACCTTGCACGCGCGACAAGGCCCGCCCCACCCCTCAAGGGACCTGGTCACAGTCACGCAAGACTTCCATACGTCCCCACGACACTAAAGCAAATGAAACTGATGCTCATCGTCGGACAAAAAGTACTCATAATTCAAAATAAATTGCTTTTCGTGTCATTTACCTAAATAGAATAAACCGATAAGTGAGGGAAAATGTTTGAATTTTATAAGAAACATAAAAGCGTGCATAATGCAATGATCAGAATATATGGAGTTTGATCAAAAATATACTGACCACATACCTGTATAGACTAATACTTTCTGAAAACTAACGTCATAATTTTTAAAACAAAATGTATTAAATTTTGTTCAAGCATTCAAAATAAGATTGATAAAGTTAATGTCAAACATAAATAAAGCATAGAGATAATTTTTTCATATTAAGTTCTAAACATTTTCATTCTAAGTTTTACAAAACTAGAAAACTAGACTTGACTATAATTACTTCTGTGATAAAAAAAAATAAACTAGAATGACAACACTAAAATACCGTTTTTTTAATAATTCACTAGATTTATTTCGCGGAAAGTGGGATTTGGTTTCTCCGGTCAGTAGTACCTCGCGATTATATTACAATCAAATTTAAAAACCCTGCGGCCCAGCGAAGCGCTCGACGTGTGATCGCCAGATGGAGAGTGGCTGCACGCTACAACGGAACACAGGGAACACATGGGAGAAACTATCACT